GATTAAAACTTCTACCTTCTAATTGTTCTCACCGGGTTTGTTCCTCTGGCCACCAGCCCCATCCTTAGGTGCTTTCCAAAAGCCGCCTCATTAACATAACAAGACCTTTATTGCTCTCCTGGAAGGAAATTCTAAGGGCTTTAGGAACCCCACGAAGACCAAATATACATTTCTTACTATAAATCACAACATCACAGCTTCCTTTCACAAGCCCTGATGCAACTAATCAGTCCGGGCTGCGGCGGCACTGGGGACCCCGGAGTGCCCATCATCAGTTGCTATGAGTGCACAAATGTGAAGTCATGGACCGCACATGTGCCAGGTATTGGCCATCTGTTAGAAGGTTCTTCTCTAGAAATTATTAGCTGGGTAATGTAACAGCTTCGTGGTACAGCAGATCCTTGTGCCCGCTTAGGCAGAAGGAGTTAAGAACTTTGGCACATGAATATTGATCTCATCCTCCCCTGAGGGCCTCGCCTGGTTGGAGCTCATGAACTGAAGGCTGTCAGTTGGCCCTTGGCTGAGCAGGGGTGTGGGATCCTTCGTGGTCAAAGAAGAGACTAGTCTCAGGTGACGGGGGTCTGTGCATCTCGTGGCCTCAGAGGCCTTCCTAAATTCTTCCCCACTGGGCAGGTAGAATGGAAGGGCATTGGCTCCCCAGTTGGGGGGCCAGGGAGCCAGTCCCAGCAGGATCTTTGGTCACGTGCTATGATTGAGGAGACCCAAGGGCAGTGAGGGGTCAGGATCGGCTCTTCTCAACACGCAGGAGGCCAGGAGGAGGCTGGGACCTTAGCAACCTTCTCCTAACTTGCCCATTTTGCCTGTTACAGCTTGAGGAGTTCCTGAACCAGAGTTCTCCCTTCTACTTCTGGATTAATGGCGACCGCATCGACTCCCTGCTGGAGAACGACCGGCAGCAGACCCACGCCATGGACGTCATGCAGGACAGCTTCAACCGGGCATCCAGAATTATGGACGAGCTTTTCCAGGACAGATTCTTCACCCGTGAGCCCCAGGATACTTACCACTACTCACCCTTCAGCTCGTTACAGAGGAGGCCTTTCTTCTTCAATCCCAAGTCCCGCTTCGCCCGGAACGTAATGCCTTTCCCTGCATTCCAACCCTTGAACTTCCACGACATGTTTCAACCCTTCTTCGACATGATACACCAGGCTCAACAGGCCATGGACATCAACCTCCAGAGAATTCCCTACCACTTTCCGATGGAATTCACAGAAGGTGAAAAAAATGTCTCATTCTTCCTAAGGGATGGGAACTAGCAGGTTATTGAGAAGCTCAGTAGAGTCTAAGAACATTGCTGGCGGCCTGGCGTGTGTCATCTCTATTTCCCCCAGCAACTCCATGAATGGCATTATCCCCATTTAAGGAGGAGAAAATTATGACAGTAAAGGAGTGTGTCCAAGTATTCACAGCCGGAAAAGTATGACCTGGTCAAACTTAGCCCTGCCAGACTTGGAACCTTGTTTTTTCCAAGTTTACCATGCCCCTCCCAGCAACTGGTGGTCATGACATTGATTAGTCCATTCGAGAGAACCAGACAGCCTTTCTCTCGGGAACGCAGGTGGCTTTATGTGGATGCCATGCATATATTGGTGACCAATTATATAATGAGTCCATATTACAGTTTAGAAAACCGTTCATGGCTATAACCTTGGGGCCTTGGTGGAGAATGAGCATGCAGTGAATATTTTTTCAGGGAATGAAGTCTAATATGGACATGAAAAGTCAATATATTTAGAACTGATTTCCTTCGTTGAACTAATAGACGTAGTTGGCCAACACCATCTCCTAAATGCTGCAGTGTGTTGGCTTGAAATGGTCTGGAAATACAGAAGGACCTTGAATTGAACAGCATCTACTGCATATCCGCAATGGGGGGAGCCCTGTGTTATAAGGCGGCTCAAAGGAGGATCCCATTCCTGCCTTCAAGGGGCTTGCTGACTGGCTAGGGGGAGAGAAACGAGCCAGATGAAATGCAAAGCAAAAATGGGTTCTGATGCCAAAGAGAGGCCTGTGGAGCTAACGGCAGTGTGGCGGCGGGAGGGTCTCATCCCCCAGAGATGGTGGGAGGCGAGGCCCTGGGAGCCAGCTCCTGGTCCTTCTGTGGGGAGCCCCGATCAGTCTGCAGGCAGATGACTACTTTCCAACCTGCATCTCAGGGGGGCAAACGGGAGCGTGGAAGGATCAGTGAGGTCTGGGTGGCCCATCACTATATTGCTCTGTGTGGGCCATCAGCATGACTCCCCCTTCCCTCCTGTGTCTCCAGAAGACAACCAAGACCGTATGGTGTGCAAGGAGATCCGTCACAACTCCACGGGGTGCCTGAGGATGAAGGACCAGTGTGACAAGTGCCAGGAGATCTTGTCAGTGGGTGAGTGGGGGAGCCCTGGGTCCCTGGTCCCTCACTGGGGCTCCCTTTATGGGGTCAGACACATGACACTTGAAATTCCACTCTGCTGCCTTCTGGCTGTGGCACTGGGGACGGTCCTCGGCCCTGCTCCACCTGGGCCCCTCATCTGTAGACACGGGTTAAGATGGAGGGCTGTCCCTGAAATCGGGAGACAGCATTCTTTGATTTCCCCAGTTATCTTCTTCCCCAGGGCCCAGCCTGGTAGACCTCCTCATTTTCCCCTGCAGATGATGGAACTTTAGAGAATACGTATTCTGGTTAACAAACACTTACCGTGTGTTCTGCTGGCACCACTATAAACCCTTGGCAAACATTTACTCACTTCCTCAGAATGATCCTGAGTTAGGTACAGTTATTGTCCCTGTCTTAACAGAGGTGAAAGCTCGTAGTCACAGGATGGTTGAGTAACTTCTTAAGATTATAGGACACCCTTATGTTGGAGAGCTAGGCGTTTGGGACGTGTTTTTAACCAGTGTTTGGTGTTCTGTCCCCAGAACACATGGGTCACTAGTAGTGGTTGGTCCCGAAGCAAAGGAAATATAATTGACCCTTGAACAACGAGGGGTAAAAGGAGGCGATAACGTAAGCTGTCTATTAACACGTAGTTCATATTCAACGTGTCTTATGTACTGTATTCTTCAAGTAAGCTAGAAAAAAAGAGATTAAGAAAATCATAAAGAAGAGGGGGTGTCCGGTGGCCATGATCTCACAGTCATAAGATCGAGCCCTGCCTCAGGCTCTGTCTGAGCGAGGAGCCCACTTCGGATTCTCTGTCTTCCTCCGTCTCTGCCCCTCCCCCACTCCCTCCCGCACTCTTGCTTTCTCTCTTACGAAAGAAAGAAAGAAAGAAAGAAGAAAGGAGGAAAGAAAGAAAGAAAGAAAGAAAGAAGAAAGGAGGAAAGAAAGAAAGAAAAGAAAGAAAGAAAGAAAGAAAGAAAGAAAGAAAGAAAGAAAGAAAAAGAAAGAAAGAAAGAAAAAGAAAATCATAAAGAAGAGAAAAACGACATCACAGTACTGCCTGGTATAGAATCCACACTGTGGACACATTTGAGGGTCGACTGTACTTCCCTTCAGCTGTTGCCCTCAGTTTTGTTAGATCTGCTCATTGACTAGTTTCTTGTTACTCTGAGTAACAGCTGTCAAAGCATCTAGAATGGTTCCTGGCACACAATAGTCTGTGCTCAGAAAGAGTTAATTGTTCCCCTTGTACATTGCAGATCAATCTTGTGGCTTTGTTCTTAATACGTTTGGGTTTGCCAGGGCAAGCCTTCAGAGTCTAGTTAAATATTCCTAGCCTCACTCCTATAATTTTAGAAGCCACTGCAAAATAAATACAAGTGCTGTGAGAGGCTGATGTGAAGTGTAGATGAGCACTCAACCAAGCCTCCCGGGCTTTTCCCATAAAATATCGTAGTTAGAGTTGCAGAAATTACATAGTACTTTGCCACAAGAAAGTCCTGTTTAGGGCCAGAAGAAGAGACCCACAGATGCCAGGGCTCAAATTGGCACCCCTACCACTGATACTGTTTTTTTTTTCAAGTTGATTTATTTATTTTGAAAGAGAGAGAGAGTGAGCATGAGGGTGGGGCAAGGGGCAGAGAGAATCCCAAGCAGGCTGCACGATGTCAGCGCACAGCCCGACTCGGAGCTCGAACCCACGACCGTGAAATCATGTCCTGAGCCAAAATCAGGAGTTGGACGCTCAACCGTCTGAGCCACCCAGACACCCCCGACCCAGCACTGAGGTTAATGGTCACTGGTCACAGCTTACCTAAACTGCCTTCTCTTCTGCATTGAGAAAGAGTCACCACCTCTTACTGAAGGTGCTTGAACCAAATGAGCACGCACTGCCCGAACACTCTAGACCAGGGTGTCTCAACTTTGGCACTCCTGACAATCCACACCAAATGATTTTTTGTCGTGTGGCACTGTCCTGTGCCCTGTGGGCTGTTTAGCAGCACCCCTGGCCTCTCCCCAGTGGGCACCAGTTGCCTCCCTTCCCCACCAGTCCTGACAACCAAAACCATTTTTAGACCTTGCCAAATATCCTCTGGGGGTTAGCAGAGCCCCCAGTTGAGGTCCACTGCTCCAGACAGTCTGGGTTCTCAATGGCTTTCCTTATTTTTTAATTCTTCTCTGGTGAAAGAGTTAAGATTATTCATTGTATTGTCTTTTCAACCTGGCTTTTATTTCTTGCCCCACCTAACATTTTTGAAGTTGCCATACCTATGGTAATCACTTATATTAAATGCAGTGTGCAAAGATCTGTCTTCCCCAAGTCAGGGGATGCACCCTCCTTAGGAGAGTTTTGAAAAAATTAGGGAAAGAAAATCAGTAGTTTGTAAAGAGAGAGTGGGTAGTTGCCAGCTCTTCTCAATCTGAAACCCGCAGTGAGTATTCAAGGACCAAGATGGGCAAGCCGGGACCCCCAGCCACCAGGCTGCTGTGCTTTGTGCCCCGAGGGCCCTGGCCAGCTCTTTTGCCTCTTTCGACTGTTGGCACCGGATTTCCAGCTCTGCAGATATGCTCCAAAGACAGGCTTGGAGAGTTTTCCAGAACCATAGACTCAGAGTAGGAAGGGCCTACTCTGAGTAGCCCATGAATCACTCATTCTATGACTTTTAGGCAATTGATTTACTTCTGCGGGCCTCAGTTTCATCACTGGTAATACTTAAAGGCAGAATAGAGGTGATTATCGGAGACAGGGGCTATCTAAAGCACTTATGTCGTGTCTGGTACCGAGTAGGTCCCCACAAAGGGTAGCCGTAAGTAACCCCTCCCTCCTCCGGAAATGATCCATCAGGGCAGCAAGAGCAGGCCCGGGTCTGAGCACAGAGACTGAGATCAGTGCTTCTCAAAGTGTGGTCCACACTGCTTGTCACCAGTCTTCCAAGGAGATAAGGGTCTTGCACCCAAAGGTAAATCAATGATGTCTCTAAGGACTCTGTTTAGTTCAGGTGACATTGTTTTCCAGAGCAAGATTTCATCGATGAAGGAAGCTGCGTGCTGGTTTACATTCCGGGGTGAGCCCTGTTAACGTTGCAGACTGACAACACGTGGTTTGTGGCTCGGGCCTTAACAGTAGCCCTGCTTTCGGTCCTGGCTCCGAGGACGGATTTCCATTCATGTTTTTATCCTTTTTTAGCTTTCCCTTTACATTTCTGCCTTTCCCCCCCCCCCCCCCCCCCCCATCTCTGGGCAGACTGTTCTGCCAGCAACCCCTCTCAGGTGCTGCTGCGGCAGGAACTTAACAACTCCCTGCAGATGGCAGAGAAGTTCACCAAGCTGTACGACGAGCTGCTTCGGTCCTACCAGGAGAAGATGTTCAACACGTCCTCTCTGCTGAAGCAGCTGAACGAGCAATTTAGCTGGGTGTCCCAGCTGGCTAATCTCACTCAGAGTGAAGACCCATTCTATCTCCAGGTCACTACGGTGAGTCATGTCCTGGCCGCGCACCGAAGCTCGGGGGCCCGGGACACGGTCCGGAGGCGATGGGAACCTTCCCTGGGAGTAAATGGGATGAAGGTATTAAAGGCAGCTCTTATGCTTTGGATCGAGCATTTGTCACATGGCAGGAAACATAAGAGCTTTTATGCACGTGGTTGCACGGAAGCCTCATGACCCCGTGAGGTGTAGACTGTCGTGACCCCATTTTACGGTTGAGGAAAGTGAGAGAGACTCAACAGCGCACCCAAGGTTTAATAACCAGTAGGTGACTCGCCTGGGCGTTTGAACTCGTGTGCTTGACCAGAAAGCCTGTGCTCTTTCCACGAAGCTGCCTTGCTATGTTGGATGCCTCATGAACTGGGGCCTTATTCTCTACCAGGGATAGAAAGCTTCTCTCTAGTGCTGGGAACCTTTTTTTTGTTTTTCTTTCCCCGATTCCTTTTCTGCCACTGGCCCAGCCAGTGCCCAAAGCCACTGACCCAAAGAAAACATGGTGGCTTAGGACCCATTTGTCTCTGTGGGGCTCCCCACAGGCTGGTCATTTGCAGACAATGTTTGTACCTACAGACAAGTGTCTCTGAACTCGGGCATTTCTGTTCACGGAGTTGTCCAGATGTCAAAATCAGTCAAAAGCAAAAGGGGTCCACTGTCCAGATTTCTGCCTGGCTTTTGTTGCAGAATGAGTCCATCTGGACCAGTTTTTCAGTCCTTCTCTTACCTTTCTTCCTTCTAGGTGAGCTCCCAGACTTCTGACTCCAACGTTCCCTCTGGCTTCACTAAGGTGGTTGTGAAGCTCTTTGATTCCGACCCCATCTCTGTGATGGTCCCAGAGGAAGTCTCCAGGAACAATCCTAAATTTATGGAGACTGTGGCAGAGAAGGCCCTTCAGGAATACCGTCAAAAGAACGGGTGAGTATGCAGGCCTTACCTGTCATCCTTCCGGGCCCAGCAGGTCCGCAGGAGCCAGACACAGGGCAGCATAGCCAGCCTGGGAATGATGGCACCCGTAGCCAGAGCCCAGGGACGAAGGCAGAAAAATCAGTGGACATTTTAGTTTCCCTTTGAAGGATGTTCTTTCTTTGTTGATGAGAAGTTGAGTATTGGTTGCTGCCTCTCAGTGAATATCGAGCCCTCACCTTCCATTTTCCTTCATTTTATTTTCAGGGAGAAATGAGATGTGAACATTGCCTCTCCAAACATGGGGGCGTCTGAGTTCAGTTGCCCCCAAGATGAGCGATAGGCCCCTAGAGAGAGCCCTGCACGTCACCAAGTGACCAGGCCTTGCCCTCCTGTCCCTTCACCCAGCCTTTCCTCCCTCTGGACTCCGCGCTGTAATGCCTGTGTTCGCTGATCATGGGAAGAAGTCCCACGTGCCACTAACTCAATAAAACCGCCAGTAATCAGAATGCTCTGGGTGTCCTTCTTTTATGCTGTTTTTTTCTCTCTCCCACATGCCTGTGTTTTGGTATTGAAGAAAAAGAAGTAGAAAAGAAAAAGCAGTAGCAAAGATGGTATAAGGAATACCATATAATTGAGAATAAGTGGAGCGTGACAAAGTTAAACCGAAGGATTCTTGCTTTTAGGAGGAGAGAAATGTGTTCGAACAGCCAAGTGAAATAAATTTCTGAAAAGTGAATCTTGGCCATTCCATTATAAAACCGTTGATGTATTCTGATTCGGGGGGAGGGGGGCGAGATCTGAAGGAATAGCTTGAAAATCAGAGTGAAGAGAGGGTACTAATAAGGCATACTGGGTATTTTAATATACAATTGCTATTTTCCTAATGGAAACTGTAGTCCCCAAAAGACAAAACGGGGTGATTTCCTTTTCACTTGGAATTCCTGTGGCACGGCCTTCACCGTGACATTGTTGGTATGCTGTCAATCCATACAACCCTTACTTACATCTGTCCCCTCCACCATGATTTCCCTTCCACTTGGGTTTTTCCTGATGGCGAGGTCTGACTTCTTAGTCTGCAGTCTGGCTGGGTTGCAGTACCCCATGCTACCAGCAGGTGGCCCCACCTAACCGTGGTACCTCCCTCAACGTTAAGTTACTAAGCATTTCCATTTATGAGTATTTTGTAGCCATAGAATTCTTTTCATCAAATATACTTCGCACGAAGAAAAAAACATCTGGCCGCATTCCAGGATTGTAGCTAAGTCTACATCATAAATTAAAAGCTTAGAATATTCTTACATCACCTGTTCCTTGTCTCTCCCTTCTTTAAGTTATAAGGACCTCTGCCACACAAGGAACAGACTGCAAGGCTTAGGTCATCAAAGAAGCTGGTATTTTAGTATTAGTCTCAAGGAAATTCGGAGTAAAGTTAGTATGATTCACTTAATGATCTGTATTAATTAGGGTTACAAGCTCAGAAGGCATTTTGCTAAAATGGCCCTCATTGTAAATTGTACATCACATTAATGTCACATACCAGATTTCAAAATTTATTTTTTGCTTCCTATTATGTCTCTAGATGCTGGCAGCCACAGTATCTACATGTTGCTTTTTATGCAATCTACTTTATTTTTAATTATTTTTTAATGTTTATTTATTTTTGAGAGAGACAGAGACAGAACACAAGCAGGGGAGGGGCAGAGAGAGAGGGAGACACAGAATCCGAAGCAGGCTCCGGGCTCCAGCTGTCAGCACAGAGCCTGACGTAGGGCTTGAACCCAAAAACCACAAGACCATGACCTGAGCCGAAGTCAGGTGCTCAACCAACTGAGACACCCAGGCGTCCATATGCAGTCTACTTTAAATTTCCTAGGCTAGGGGCACCTGGGTGGCTCAGTCGGTTAAGTATCCAACTTCGGCTCAGGTCATGATCTTGTGGTTTGTGAGTTCAAGCCCCATGTCAGGCTCTGTGCTGACAGCTGGAGCCTGGAGGCTGCTTCTGATTGTCTCCCTCTCACTCTGCTCCTCTCCTGTTCACTCTCTCTCTCTCTCTCTTTCAAAAATAAATAAACATTAAAAATTTTTTTACCTGTCCTAGGCTAGCACCTTAAAAGATAGTCTAAAGCTACTCTGAAGTTTGCTGGGACCCATTCTGTCCATCCTCTTTCCCCCTTTGCACGGTGGCCTTGTTGAGGGTCCTTGGATGTCTCTCCATCCCTGACAGAAGTCCTGGCCTGAGGCCCTAGAAAAACCAAGGCAGGACATGAGATCACCAAGGTGCAGGGATGAGATATGGGGAATTCCGGCAGGGGGACCATGGCTAATGGGCCCTGGGTTTTTAGCTCCTAGGATTATTGGAGCAAAGTGGGAACAGTGCCAGATGTTCTGAGAAGAGAGGGCTTAGTATCTGCCTGGTAAAGGTGGCACCACCAACCTGCAGTTAGGCCTTGTGTTGACACTTGATGGCCTTCTGCCAGGGAATTGTAACAAAAAGGAATCTGCTCACTGCATGGTGAAATGACACCGGAATTACGCAGTGTGCAGCTTGTGCAACTGTACCAGTAGCTGTGGGCCAGCTAAAGTGCTCTACAACTTGGGCCAATTGCTTCATGTAATTCCATTAGGTCCCACGGTTACTCTCTAGGCACATTACAAAGGCTTCCAGGAGTCGCCTTCATTAGAAAAGTGTGTGACCCAGGGGTCTGGATGAAAGAACATCTGACCTCTGTTCCTTGTGCCCCACAGGGGCTATTGTAAGGGACCTCGGGTTGCCCACCCTTCTCAGTGAAGTAGCAGGGAATAGAGGAGGGGTGAGAGCCAGGAAGCTGCCCATGATGCGGAACAGAGCTCACCACTAAGTGGCGGTTGTGGGTCAATGGAAGGCCATTTGGCTCGGGCTTCACTTTCCCAAAGGGCCTCCAATTAGGCTTTTGACGTCATCTCCACTGGGGTTACCCTTTGATCACAGAGTCACGATGACAGGATCAAAGGAAAATGCTCACCATATAACAGTACCTTTGTCCCACCGAGAGGGGGCTGGAGGCTTGGACTGCTTGGCAGGGGTCTAGGTCAGACAGAGGGACTGCTCTCTATGGGTGTCCAAGCGAAGTTCAAAGGCCGACCAAGGAAACTATCATCCTGTCTACAAGGAGAAGAGGCCATCTTGCACTAACCCTCTCGATGACCAGACCAAGCAAGACCCCGCCCCACCTCAGATAACCTCAAGACAGCTGGAGCAGTGAGAGCGGAGGATGGGAGGGGTCAAGAGCTGGACCACGCCCCTTCCTGTTCTCTCTGGGCTCTCAGAACCCAGGACTGGGGGTGTGCGGGAGGGTAGAGTGTGCCCCTCCCCTCCTCCCCTCCTCCCCTCACAGGGGAGGAGAAGAGTCTAGGTTTGGGTATTAGACTGACATTCTAAAGTAAACAAAACGGACTGTTTTATTAACTGGGATGTTTTCAGGAAGTTAAACAGTCTGCTTGAGATGTTGTTTAGTGATGGGCACAGTCCTTAGAATGAATCAGATTATTTCATGTTTGTGCCCCCAAATGAGTTGAAACTCCACAATTAACAGATTCCAGAAGCTCTTATCCACAATGAAGCATGAGGCCCGGACAAGGAGTGTCGTGGGGAGAGGTCACTTAAGAGTCAGGTTGCAGAGATAATTGGGGCCGTTTACTCACAGCCATGCAGCTGGTAAGTTGGCAGAGTTGGGATTGAACCCCGATCTGATTCTGCCTCACTGCCCCGTTCTAGCTGCTCAGCCCCCCCCCCCCCCACGTTCATAACCTATCCAGACCCAGCATTGCCTGGTATTTTCTAGCTGTAAGAGAGCAGCTTGGCAAACCCAGGAAATACGAAATCGTTCTAAAGGCAATATGAAAAGGACTCAGGTCTGCAGCACTTATTAAAGGAATTAATGATTACCAAGTCAATTAGTGTACTATCAGTAAATGCCAGACCGCATGGAGCAGATCTACGAGGTTAATAATGAACTCTGTTTGCCTCTGGGAGATTCTCAACCCCTCGGTCATAATCCTCCAGGTTTATGGCATCGCTCAGAGCTGTGTGGGCAACAGCAAATTGCCCACTTCCTCCTGCTCACCCCCACCGCTCTGAGGCCCATTCCCTGACGGCCAACATTTGCCTTCAACCTGTCGGGGTCGCTCCAAGGTGGGAAGAGGTCACTGGGGCTGGGGGCTGGGATGGAGAGGATGGCACCGTTACCTGCCTGCTCTCATCCGTTGCCTCCAGCACATGGGGGAGCAAAGACGCTGACCTTGAACTAGTACCAGACATTCCCCCCTCAATCTCCTCTTGGTCTCTGTCCCTCTCTGGTGCCCAATTCAGTAACTGGTGACAGGCGGGCCACTTACTTCAGCCTTACCTTCGTTAAGAGACTTTTGACCTCTTTGCATATGACAGCATGTGTATAAAATCACAGAGATGCACTGACGGCATCAAAGAAAGGTATTCATTCTCCAAATCCAAACCTGTATCCAGTCACCAGCCCACCCGCATGGAGTGCACAAGGTATTGACCTTTAAAATAATATCCTGCCGTTATCTTGAACATCGTTCTCTCCCTCCGTGTGGGTGTAAAGGCATTCATTTGTGGATGTCAACAGTGAAAAAAAAAACCACACCCAAATTTTGGTAATTTTCTTTTGGAAGTTTCTGGAAATGTCTAGGTGTCTCTGAAGAGCCCTGCCGTGTGGGGAAGAAAACCAGGGTCAAACTAAGATAAGTCAGGCTCGGGTATGCTCAGACTGCTTTATTCTATGCTCCTTTCGTCCATGGGTTCAAGGCCCCTTGGGATTAGGGTACTCATAGCTATGTTTCCAGCCTCCATTCCCCCGTTCTTGGATAGCTCCTGCCTTGGGCCTCATTTTTAACTGGAGACCTTCCTTGTAAGATCTTCCTTGTAGGGGACCCAGGAACCTCTTCTAAATTTGAAACTTATGGTTGCATAAAGAACTCTTCCCAAGGGGGACAACACAAAAGAGACTCATAAAT